AATTTAGTCAGTTTTTCGTCTTGTCAATAAAAGTAAAATGATTTTTGAATTATTAAAATCGGACGCTCCGTTCTTTTAAAAACTGAGTTACCGTTTTTGGTACTTTTTTCCCGTATCTTTGGAACGGCCAGACCTGCCTTTGCCAAAAACTAATCAGCACGTATTCCTATCAATACAAATCTATTAATTCAATATCTTTTTGAATTACACAAACCGGTTGATCGGTGTTTCCGAAATCGTCGGCGAAAATTTGTATCCGCACACACACACACGCGCACATCCATGTTTTCTAATATATGCCAAAATATTCAGCAACCTTTGAAACGTAAACGTATATAACAATTTTCATTTTCGATTTATTTGCGATTACTATAACATACCCAAAGGAAAGTTATTAAATAAAATAAGTTGTAATAAATAAACTAATAAATGAATAAATATTGTTGCATACTAAGAGTTTGGCTCAAATACTACAATAACGCTTAAATGTTCGATGATAATCTCCATTATTTTATCTATACTTTTGTATAATTAATTCTATACAAAACAGTTTTGTTATTATTAGCATCAAATCTATGATTTCCCTAAAGTTTTGTAGGAAGTTTAGCATTATTAAAAAAATATTCATTTTGAAATATTATGCTTGTGGAATTATTATACTTGTATATAATATATTTCAAATTTTCATTTTATATTTGCAAATTGTATTTTGATTTTTCAGATTTTGTTATTTTCCGTAGCAAATTGCATGAACTTGTTGATAGGTGCGAATAGTAAACTTAATCAATATGTTTTTAAATTATATATGACCTACCTTACCTGTCCAACTGTTTACCTGTCAACCTGACCACGTGTATACCTTATTCCGAAACCGCTGGACCAGCGTTGGTAGAAATGTAATCAACACGTCTCGCTGTCAATACGAATCGAGTGTCTTTTGGATCAATCTAATCGGATACTCCGTTTTCACAAAAACTTAAAATTTTGTACTTTTTGTACGTTCAAGTCGATTGATCCCAGCTCTGGAAACCGAAAACGGACCAAAGTGGACGAAAAATTGTATCCATACAAAACACATACCACACACACATACACATATGTTTTTTGTAAGGTATTCCAAAATATTCAAGAGATCATAAAATGTACATCTTTTTCAATTTATCGATGACTTACCCTGCAAAAAGTCAATTATGTTGTTGATAATTGTTCCTTATTATAAATTAATTTAATGAGGCGTATCAAACTCGTGATATCTATTCATCAGCAAGTCACCTTTCATAAGCTTTTTTTTTGTAAAAAATGAAAATCGGGCTTTGATAAGTGAATTATATACTATTCTGAAAATTCAACAAAGCCGCCATTATTTCCTTTCTCCCATTATTATTTCCTTGGCTCACTTGGATACTCTATACAGGCTGATGAAAGCAGATTGCATATTGAATGAGGTAATAAATTACACAACAATCTACATAAATATCTAATAATAGATAATAGCCATTAGTGCTTTGCATTTACGAGAAACTACAGGAAAGTAAAGTAAGGCCTTCTCATAGTAGCGGTTTTCTTTGAGTATCGAACGCGGCCAAAGTTTTATGAAATGTTTTCTTATCTTGGCAAGGATTACATAATAATGATATGTACATGTCTAAGTAGTATCGCACAACTTTCTCGTTAACTACTTGAAATAATTACTTGTGCCAGTATAATATTATATTCGACATACTTCGATGGTACTGCGCTTTGTCAACAGATAGTTTTGTGTTTCAGTTTCTATTATGCATTAAATATAGAATTTTTGATATCTGAACGATATAAAGCAATATAATAAGTAAACACAAATATATTCAGGTTTATATACCTTCTATAAAACCTTACAAGTGAGTGGAGTAAAAAACTTTTACCCTCGCGAAAGCATAAACAAGAAAATATAGTTAAAAAAATTACTTATATATAAAAATGGATTGCAAAATGTGTTGGTAAACACATAACTCAATAACGCCTGGAACAATTTGGCAAATTTTTTTGTAAATATTTGTTGAAGTCCAAGGATGGTTCTTACGTCAAGAAAAAATCGAATAATTGCCGGAAAACCCCTAAAAACAGCCCTTTTCTTTTTCTGATACAAACGTTTTCTAACTAAAACGTAGAATTAATTTGAACTTTATTGCTATTATATAAAGTTCATATTAAATTAAAAGCACTCACTGTATACTCCTCCTAAACGATTATTCTGATTTTGATAAATCTTTCTGAAGCTTGTTAGGGAAATTTTCTAAGATGTATGTGATTATAAAGTACTGGGATGTATGTGCAATATTGTAGAAATGAATGGGAAAAATTGCAAAAAACGATATGTCATTGTTTGCATTGAAAACAAATGAAAACTATCATCTGCCAAAAATTTCAATTTACTCACGAATCTAGACAATATTAAAATATATAATATATAATAAATTTATGATTATGAATAAGAAAAATGAAAAGTCTACATTATTATTGCCAAAAAGTAGCTGAGATGTGCCAGATATTAAAATAACATAGGATACAGTATGCGTATGACAAATTGAATGATACACATATGAACAGGATATGACAAATTAATTTACTTAAAATATGAAATTAAGTATTAATCAGGGCCGGTCCAACCTTTAATGCGATGCATGCAAAATATACGAGCGCACGTCAGAGGGGGCGCCAATATCAGATTAGGATATTAAATTTTTAATACAGTTTTTTTTGCAATATATAATTTCTTTGCATCTTTTACTAATCTTTCCACAATATTTTTAATATTCGTAAAAATTTCACTTTATAACAACAAATGGAAAGTAAAGATGAATACATACAACTAGGCCCTCACGATATCGATTAGGAAAAGTTTAAGATGCAGTTTTAGATATCTTAAATAATTAAAATTAAATTAATTTTATCCAATATGAAGTACCAGTGTTATGTTATGGTTACCGTTTAAAAGACTTCAATTACGAATATAGTGTGGGACTCATTTTACTTAAAGCAGTTCTACAATTATTATTGCTCATATTATAAATATATGCATTTTGGCATGAAGAGTGATTTAAGACACAATAATTATTATTTTTAGGTAAACGGTATTTATTAGTATATTATATTTAAAAATAGCAGACATGGGTACAGGACAACGTCTGTTTATTTTAAATTAATCACTGTATTTCAACCGATCAAGCGTAGATAAGTTTAAGCTCGTATACCTCTTGTGGTTTATATTATATTCAAAGTTGGTGACACTAACTTCAGCAAAGATTCCACAAGTAGCTTTACACTATCCAAACTATCAGCCGTGCAACAAATAGTAAATTTAAACTTAACTCTACAGTATGGCAAACTGTACCAACACAAATTTGAAACCTCAAATCGCAAATCTATTTATTCCACTTGTCAGACATAACGAAGTAATAATATTAACTGCGGCAAACTTGGATGAGATAGTGAGGCATACCATAAGATTGACAGTATTAAAACAATTTAGGCATTATTATATCTTTATGTAAAATATTTAATATATTATGGTGTCACTTAATGCTGCAAAATTCTATTAATTTATTAATATAAATATGATAATTAACTTTAAATTAACCGTAGGGCAAGTTATAGTAATCGCAAAAAAATCAAAAATACATTTTTTTATATATCTTCACGTTTCAAAACCTTCTGAACATTTTGGCATACCTTAGAAAAAATGGATGTATGTGTGTGTATGTGTGTGTGTGCGTGTATGTATGTGCGTGCGGATACAAATTTTCGTCGACGATTTCGGGAACGCGGATGAAGCGATTTGAATAATTCAAAAAACACTCGATTTGTATTGATAAGGAGATGTGCTGATTAGTTTTTAGTCTAACCATTTCGAAGATATGGGGCAAAAAGGGCCAAAAACGGTAACTCAGTTTGTAAGAGAACGGAGAGCCGATTTGAATAATTCAAAAAACATTTTACTTGTATTAACAAGGTAAAGAACTGATCAAATTTTCATGAAGGCAGGTCTAGCGGTTTTGGAGATCTAATGAAAAAAGTAAAAGAAAAGCCATTTAGCGGTCAAAAATGATCATTAGACATATGCACATCAAATTATCAGATATTTTATAGAGATTTTAATAATAAGTATAAATTTTGTTTACATTCCTATGGTTTCCGTACCAATGTTTATCCGTTAGACGGTGACGCGGCGCTGACGCGCTTTGACATTTCGTCTCTATGCAGTTAAAGCAGTAAGATTGCTTTAAAAAAAAGTTCCGAATTCCCAAACTATGCCAAAATATAGAAAACTTTTTTTCAAACATTTTTTTTTCAAAAAAAGTAATGTTTTGTCGAATTTATAGTTTCTCAAAAATCTAATTTTTTCGAAGTAATTTTTTTTCAAAAATGTTAATCGTTTTTAAAAAAATAATAATTTTTGGTACGGAAAGTTTCAGCAATTTGCCTTAAGGCACGATGCCATGCGCCCCACTAGTTAGATCTAATGTTCATTCATATACTGCATAAAACATTACTATTTTTGTCTATAATAAGCACACTTTGAATATAACATATTCGAATATATATATATATATATATATATATATATATATATATATATATTAGAAGTATATATATATTCATAAAATCATAATACTTAAATTAAAATACATTACTTTACTAATTCATTATAGGATTATTTTGACGTACATTACCAAAACTTATCCTTGAGTATTTTTTGCGCAATAAATTCTCTTTATACATTAATATTAATCTTCAAGAAGTTAAAAAAGCCATTATTTAAGAAAAAAGTTATACGTCGAAAGTTTTTGTTTGGGTATTGACTCAAACAGCTTCATCATTTAATAAATTGCTCAAAACTTATTTTTGTGTTTAACTTTGTTTCGCGTAGAATATTGTAGTAGAACATTGTATTAATGCAAATATGCTAGTTTTATTATGTTTTTATTTTTGTATTAAATTTATGTGTGTGATTATGATTTCAGTTCCTCCACATCAGTTGCTAATTTATGACAATTCTGGACGTGAAGTGACTGATACTGTGGGACCTCTAGAAGAAGGCAGTAATTTAGTTCTGACATGTGAGGTCAGAGGGGGTAAGTGAATTTAATTCATTATAAGAATTACAATTAATGATCGTTTGTATTTTATCAAGTAACTACAAGCTTGGATTTAGCACATTTTTCATATTATATTAATTATAGGGAAGTAACCAATTTATTAAAATTTGAAATAATGTGGTCCCAAATTGAGATGACTCATACTTCAAAATTAATTATTATTGCAATATAATAATTTGTTTTGACTTGACGGAGGGGATAAATATTATATATAATTAATATAATTGAACTTAATGCATATAATGTGCCATTTACAATTCACAGTTCAATCTAATTCTAAAATGCTCAAACGCCTTTATGAAGCGTTTCATACACCGACTTATGTTTTTAGTTTTTTTTACTAATATTTAGTAAGATGATACAGAAATGTTATAGTTTGTTTCCAAAGGTTTTTAATTTATGCGCATTAAATTAATTATTTGGTCTTTTTTATGTTAAACGTGTTTTAGAGGCGTATTTTAGGTCTAATATTAAAAAAAGTCGTTTTTGTTTTTTTAGCATATTTTAATTATTTAACTGTACAAAAATATATGTACAAAGGGAATTTTCAAAAATTAAGTTATGAAAGTATACCTGAAGTTTGGCCACAATAATTCGCATTTATTTCTTCCTCGAAACTTCAAGCGTGTTATTATCGAAATTGTGTTTTTTGATACGGTACACCTACTATGTCTCAACTCCTTCTGGACCTATTTAGTTAAAATTTTCACAAAGTCTTTTATAAAGATTTCTCTTTAGTATGCACTACGCTGACCTCGAAAATATTATTTTTACCATTTAGAAAAAATCGAGAAGTAAAAATAATTACATCATATAACATTTTTGAATAATGTTAATTAGTAATATGGTAACACTCGTAAGGCATACAATTATTAGTGTCAACCATTATACACTTTTATAATGATAAATTATAAACTATATATTTATAGCATTAACAATATATATAACATTTAAAAATAATAATGTAATTAAAGTCATACTTCAAATATGACATGATCGGTTTGTCATTGTAATTAGAATTTAGAAATGAACCTTCTAGAATATTCTATAATATTCATTCACACAGTGTATTATGTTAAACAACACCTAGACAAATATTGTTTTCGCAACTTCACTCATCATGTAATTGTGTTTGAAGAACTTCATATAATTAAAATTAACATACATTTATTGACTGCTTGTATTTTTTTTACTTTTTCGCTGGTGATATAATCTCATTCTTTGAATAGATGTAATATCTGTCTTGCCTAAAAAATATTTTCCATTTTAATAACTTCAAAGATTTATAGAAATTTATTTATAGAAAGTATGAATAATAAAGAAATGATTTCTAATCAATAAACTTACGTTAATACACGGCCCAAATGATAAATTTGTTTTATTATTTTCAAGGAACAGGGTAAAATATTCATATGATACAGGTATATATCATTAAATCAAGATTTAACTTTAAAATATTGAAAAATAGCTTACTTAATTATTATAAATAGATAAATAACGTTTTGAAGTAGTCCATACTGTATTCCTAAATAATTAATTTACTATATTACAATATCGATTTATTATGATCTGTAGGTAGGTACTCCTAACAATTACACAGCTAAGCATTTAGTTTATTTAACATAAGTACAAAAGCATGTCCATATCCTACGACAGACGTGATATCTAAGAAGATTAGAGACATGGAGTAATTGCTGATTAATAAATTCTATAATAATAGTTCACACGTTCACACGTTCATGTAAATAAAATTAACATACATTCATTGACTGTTTGCATTTTTTTACTCTTTCGCTGGCGATATAATCCCATCCTTTGAACAGCTGTAATATCTGTCTTGCCTAAAAAATAGTTTTCATTTTAACAACATCAAAGATTTATAGAAACTACGAATAATAAGGAAATAATTTTTAATCAATAAACTTACGTTAATACACGGTCCGAATAATAAATTTGTTTTATTATTTTCAAGGAACAGGGTAAAATATTCTTATGATACATGTATATATCATTAAATCAAGATTTAACTTTAAAATATTGAAAAATAGCTTACTTAATTATTATAAATATATAAATAACGTTTAGAAGTAGTTCATACTGTATTCCTAAATAATTAATTTACTAAATTACAATATCGATTTATTATACCAAATGATCCGTAGGTAGGTACTCCTAACAATTACACAGCTAAGCATTTAGTTTATTTAACATAAGTACAAAAGCATGTCCATATCCTACGACAGACGTGATATCTAACGATTTATCAGTCTTCTAATGCGGGTATTCGATATTAAATTTAATTCCCATAAAACATGTACAAGGGCACGTGCGCTTAGGCATCGACCCTGTTCTCCACTTCGCTAACCCACCTGACTGGCCGACTGATGTGGGTTTGCCGGTTGTCCAATAAAGAACATTCATAGGTTTGATTACAGAGATCTGATAACTAAGGCACAGGCATGTGCCATAGGCCAACTTGTGTTTTGTATAGGCTGCCAGACCAGATAGCGTTTGTGTCACAAAATTGTCATAGGGGCGATGATCAATCCATGCCGACCCAATTAGCACCGACTGGTAGCATGTATAATACATTTTGTGTCGTCGCCCCCTGTCATGTTAAATGGTTAAAAATATTGTTCTACTAGCAGGGTTTTAGTGTAGTAATGAATATTGATATAGTTTCTTGTCAAATTGGACATTATTAACCTAGTGAAATATATTATTAAGAAACTAGTACAGAATCTTTAAGTAGGAAAATAACTCATTCAAACATTTTTGTTGCTATATAAAATTATTAAGTACACCGTTAAATTAAATTCTAAAACTCTTTCGTATAAGTCACGTCGGAATTTGGAAAGCTTTTACTTATTGGTAAAGAATTCAATATTAATAAAATTATATAGGGGGACTAGGGACTTATTGTAACAGGAGTAAGTACAATCACAACAATAACACGTATTAAACTAGCAAATATCGAACTTTGTTCATTAAAAGTCCCAATTAATTCCTAATTATAGAAATATGTTTTAGCTACATTCCTAATTTTTGTCAGCTGCTTTTTTTACCCCAGCGTATAGGGTTAATTTCATTGAGAAATTTCATCTCAAAGCAAAATAAGATATATAAAATATGAATAAAAATGATGATAAATTAAAGCTATATAAATTTTAAAACAGTTGATAATAACAACGCAAACAAAAATTTTAGGAAAGTAAAATTTTAAATTGCATGATAATAAAATTTTAAATTTTATGAGAGTATAATTTTAAATTATACTTACTTTGAATTAAATGTTAGTATAATTTTAAACTAGCTGTAAGTGGAATTCTGTCTTGAGGCAATTATGGCATCGTGCCTTAAGGCAAATTGCTGGAACTTTCCGTTGAATACTGAATGTTTTCAAATAGATTAGTATACATATTGTATCATTGTCTAATATAAAATAATAAAATAAAATCTGAAATATTTTTGATATACAAAAAACTGAAAAAAAAAAAAAAAATGAACAAAATTTTTTTTTCCAAAATCAATTATTTTGTTAAGACAAGCAGAAAGTTCTTTGAATCATTTAAATCGGACGCTTAGTTCTCTCAAAAACTGCCATTTTTTACATATTTAGCTCCGTATCTTCGAAATGGCTGGGCCTGCCTTTGCCAAAAACTAATAAACACTTCTCCCAATCATTACTAATTGAATGTTTTTTAGATCATTCAAATCGATTACTCCGTTCTCTCAAAAATTCGATTTCTATTTTCTGCACTCTTTGCTCCGTATCTCCTAAACGGCTGGACCTGCCTTTGCCAAAAACTAATCAGCTCTTTTCCCTATCAGTAGGAATCGAATGTTTTTTGAACCATTCAAATCGGTTGATCCGTGCGCCCTAAAACGTGACTGGAAATTTGTATCCATACATACATACACACACACATACATACACACACATCCATTTTTTCTGAGGTATGCCAAAACGTTCAGAAACCTTCAAAACGTCGAGAAATGTAAAAATTTTCAATTCCGATTTTCGGTCCATTACAATAACTTACCCTACGGGAAGTTAATAATATCTACTTAATAATTACTTGCTATTTTCTTATTGTTCATACTTTTTTCCGTGTAAAGGTTAAGTTAGTCCTATTTACCCCACCCTCATGTAAGCTTTTATAGAGGTCATATACAAAGAACTGTTGTATCTTACTTAAGAATAGAATAACAATGCATCGTATGAACAATTAACTCCTCACATATCGTAGACTAAATAAAAGTGCCAAAAACCAAAAAAATACAACCAAACAAAATACTTTTGTATTTATGAATATTAATACATGGTTTATCTTCTAATTGCAACATCGCAAGAATTAAGATGCACACATTTTACTTTCTACTTCAAAATAGTATTGTTAAAAAATTCTATACTTTAATTGTTTGTGAGATAATGATAGTGAACCCTATTTCTATTTTTTTTTAATTACAAATCTACTTTTCTAAATTACAATTGTGCATATAAATTTTATTATTGCGAGTAAATAAATATACAACTATATTTATAGCTCTGTTGAAAAATAAAATGTAATCGTTGTTTAATGTTTATTGACGCATTAGAATCCAGAACTAATTTCATCAAATATTTGTTGTAATCTCGAGAGAATTCAAGATTCTACCATAAGTTATAATTATCTGTACAGTTAAAATTTCTCTTGTGTTTATTGAAACTATTCTTATATTATGTTGATTATAACTAATAATTTAATTTTTATTATATTATTTTCAACAAATTCAAGGAAAATTTCCGTTTTCCCTTGAGAATATATTCCGGCTTTGTTCCATAGATTAAACCCATTTATCTAGTATTTTCCCAAATTCCGGACGATGTTTCCGGCACATTCATCCAATGACAAAAGCGGCCTTGCAGATATAGAGTATTTGCATAATTTTAATTGTGGACTTAAATAAGACTAAAAACGGATTTGCCACTGCAC